GGGGGGGGGGGGTCCCGGGCCCAGGTGGGGGGTCCCGGGCCCAGGTGGCACTGGGCTGTTACTCTGCTTCACCCTAAAGGTAATAATCCCGAGGTGGGAGCACCCAACCATCCCTTCTGCTGGGTTTCCTCTTCACGCGTCACGGAGACGATTCCAGCAACCCCTCACAGTTCTTTTTAACCAACGGGCCATTCGGTGTTTAATAAGCCTGGAGCACACCTGTCCTATCCTGGGCCGTAGAAACCCTGCCGGGCCTACGGGAGAGGTTTGTCCACGGTCTCGTCCGTCTGTGGCCCTGGGGATGGTGAGGCCACACGGTGCTTCTCACTGTGGGGCCGCAGGAGACACACATCCACGTGGAGCACAACTCCGAGCAGCGGGCGTGCACCCACGTGCAGATTCAGGCACGCGCGCACGTTGGCTTTGCTTCCCGCGGCTGAGGGATCAGGTCTCCATTCTCTGTGCTTAGTGGAAACTAGTCGGGTGCGTGGGAACAATGACAGGGGCTCAGGACGCCCTTGGAAGTGAGACGGGGCCCTGCGGAAGCCTGTGCCCCACCCCCGGAAGGCCGCAAGGGGTCTGTGTTTGAAGCGGCTGCCGTTCCGGGGAGGTGTTAGCGGACGCGCCGCTCGGTCCTGTTAGACGGCGACCGCTGGTCTGACGCTTGTCTTTCCCCCGCCCTGTTGTCGCGCTCTCGGGAAGAGAGAACCACAGCGAGATCGAGCGGCGGCGGAGGAACAAGATGACCCAGTACATCACGGAGCTGTCGGACATGGTGCCCACGTGCAGCGCGCTGGCCCGGAAGCCGGACAAGCTGACCATCCTCCGCATGGCCGTGTCACACATGAAGTCCATGAGGGGCACAGGGAACAAGTCCACAGACGGCGCCTACAAGCCGTCATTCCTGACGGAGCAGGTACCGTCCGTGGCCCGTCCGTGGGCCCGCGCATCCTCACGGAGTCACTGTGGGGAGGGGATGAAGTCACCGTCACCGGGGTGACACCAGCTGCGCGGGGAAAGGGGTTAAAGGTTGAGGGGTGGGTGGAACCAGGAAGTCGTACCCCTTTCTTCGCGGCGGTGTTTGTCCATCTCTGTCTCCTTTGCTTTTGCGTTTCCCGTAAACCTCAGTGAGGCATCTCTCCAAGAACACCCCGGGCTTAGTGTGCGGACGTGGGACCGTGTCCGTGTAAGCCACGTGCCGCCATGCCAGCGAGTGGTGGCACTCACGGTGGCAGCCCGGGAGCGGTCGTGGTGATAATCGTGGCGTCATCACCGCCGGCTGCCAGCTCTCTGCCCGTTTTCGCGCTTCCTCATTCTAGCCGGGGGAGAGGCCGCTAGTGTTGGTCCCTGCTGTGTAGACGAGGGCGTCGTGGCTCACCAAGGGTCCGGCCACCGCTCAGAGGCAGAGCCGGGGCCTGGCACAGGTTGGCCGGGCCCCTAAGCCGTGCTTTCCATCCGTGACGAAGAGCTCGCACGCAGAGTGGTTGGCGGGATAGTGTTTTACCAAGTTTACAAACCCCTGCGTCAACGGGAAGGCCCGTGTCCCACTCTCAGCCCTGGCCTGTGCGCCCGTCAGAGGCAGGTCCTCAAACGCTGCAAGCTTCAGTTTGCTCGACTCTGGAATGAACGGAGGCTTTTTGCGTCCCTGACCCCGAACGCTTTTGCAGGACACATGGGCCGGTGGGTCTGGAAGGACTTGGTCCAGGGTGGTGGGCGTGGGACAGGCAAGGTGAGGTGGCCGTGGGAGAATGTGGGCAGGACTGAAGCAAGGGAGACTTTGAGGAGCCCGCAGAGCGTGGCCTGAATCCCCAGCAGTGCGGGGCCACGGGGGGGGGGGGGGGGGGCCCAGAGCGCGCCCGGAGAGCCGGGGATGGGGCGCTTGACAGGAAGAGGTCGTGGGCGTGGGGCCGCAGGGGCGGGAGCGAAAGGCGTGACTAGAGACAGACCGTCTGCTCTGGTGGGGCCGGGCTGTGTCAGGTCAGGGGAGCGAGGTTCCAAAAGGACGAGGAAAAGGGGCAGACGCGGGTGACTTCCGCTCTGTGGCCACAGGATCTCACCTGCCCTTTCCTGTCGTCCTGGCGCCTGACCTCGCATGTGTGAGGAGGCTGTGGCCTTGCCATGACAGTGACCCGGAGGACCCAGAGCCTGGCGGTAGGGGCCTGGCCGCCAGCCCCGTCTCCCCTCCGTAGGGTAGCCCCACCCGCCAAGGCTCTGCTTCCCACGGGGCCTGGCCGGTAACGGGAGGCGGGAACCCCTGGCAGGTGACGGGGCAGAAACGTGTTACGTGCCCGTGAGCCACCAGGGTAAGAACAACGCTTTCTCTACGGGTCCCTTTAACTCACGACAGTCTTGCCGGGTCCGCCTTTGAAGTTAATCCTCATCCTTAAGTGACTGAGGATGGGGAAGGTGAGGAGGGAGGCGGGTACTCTGCTTCCATGAGTCCGGCCCGTTCCGTGGTCGATGGTGACAATAGCTGCATCCATGGGGCGCCGACTGTATGCCAAGCCCTTCCTGAGTGTCCACACACAAGAGCTCATTCAGTGTCACAAAATCCCACCGGAAAAACCCGTGTGGAGAGACGGAGGCTGAGGACAGTACCGTGCCCGGAGGCACACAGCTGCGTGGGTTGAGAGGCACGTCTTTCCCTCCAGAACCCGTGCTCGCCGGCCTTCCTGTTGGTTTAACTGGAGCTCGGAAGCCCGTGACCTTGATTAGGAATCACGTGCTCCCGGAAGACAAAACCGCGGAGGGGTAGATAGAGGGGCCGTGACCAGGGTGAGGCTCCGACCCCTAGACCCTCCCGCAGCCTTCAGCCTCCTCCCCGTCCGCCGGCGCACGGGATCCGCTGTTTCGCAGACATCCTGCTCCCCTCTTACGGTCCTACCGGTTGTGAGCTCTTGTGGTCCTGAACGTGAAGGCGTCGACCCATTCTCTGAGCTAAGGAAGCGGCGGGGAGGCACAGATCAGCTGAAGGACGAAGCAAGGAAAGTGGACAAAACAAACTTTTTCTTAGAAAATCCCGTATAGTTTGCTTCTGCCCTAGGGTCCCAGGCCGAGGATGTTCCAGTTCTGACCCAGCCAAGAGCTCAGAGCTCCCCAGATTCTGCTCACCAGCAGACCCGCGTTTTCTTTGGGTCCTCGGAGCGTCCTGGGGCTGGGCCCCATGTGTCAGATTCCCACGTGTGCTGTGGGCGCTCAATCGGTGTTACAGTGGGGCAACATCCGAACGGAGGATTCCCAGCAGAAAGTGGCCCTTTGTGGCGGGAGCCTGCTGAGCGCATGGGGTGTTTGGAGGCGCACGTGTGGGCGCGGGGCATGTGGGAGAGTTAGCTCCTCAACCCCCAGAGGGGCAGAGCACATTGCATCGGACTTGATGCGAAAATGACACGGGTAGGTAGGCTACACTTGGGCCGCCTTCAGGCAAAGAAGAGACATCTCAACAGAGTTGACTCTGCTCCGTTCACGCCCCTTTTGGGATGATGGCGGGGCTGCCCGCTGCCCGTTCACGGATTCCACGCAGCTTCCTTCCTGCCTGCGCTGACCGTCACGAGCCCCGTGAGTCAGCGCGACCCCAGGGCTGGCGCAGCTAACCTTTCTTCTCGCCATGAAGCGATATGGGCAATGCTGTGTGCCCTGCTGCCTCCCGACGCTGCCCGGAGAGTCTGTCGAGGAGTTCTGGAAGTTCGACGGGTGCCCGAATATGAGGAGATACTCCCGTATCCACGGCCGGCATCGCGCTCAGAGCGCAGGAAGGGGAGGAAGTGCACGCCAGCCGTGCGGGAGCGGTGGCTGGGACACTGCCCTCCTCACTGTCCCCTTTCTCTTGCTCTCCCCTCCCTTCCAGCAGCAGCACCTTTTGTACTGAGCCCTGTGCCCCGGGCCCTCCTTGTGCCCCAGCAACAGGACTGCAGCTTGAATATGTAGGCGAGGCTATTCACACCTATGGCAGCCCAGCACATTCTGGTGATCACTCCTTGCTTTCCAGCCCCTGCCCTGGGCAAGAATTTCCTTCTCTCCCTAAGAGAGGGCTGGTTTAGGCAGGGCCAGAAGTCTTTGGAGTAGCTGTATCTCAGAGCTAGGACAAGCTCTGTGCATTTTTTAGCTTATTTTTCAATAAGAAAAAAGCAATCAAAGTTTCTAAAGCTGTGTATCCCAGTGAGGGAACAAAAGTCAAAGGTTGCTGATAGGACAACTTAATGAGGCTGCGTTTGTCAGTGTTCTGTCCTAACCTCGATCTTCTCTTCCCAGGAGCTGAAGCACCTCATCCTGGAAGCAGCCGATGGCTTTCTGTTTGTAGTGGCGGCAGAGACGGGACGAGTCATTTACGTGTCTGACTCCGTCACCCCCGTGCTGAACCAGCCCCAGTCAGAATGGTTTGGGAGCACCCTGTATGAGCAGGTGCACCCCGACGATGTGGAGAAGCTGAGAGAGCAGCTGTGCACCTCCGAAAACTCCATGACAGGTTAGTGCTGCCCCCTCCCAGAGGCTGTTTGAGCCTGGAGAGGGATGTCTTTCAGTAAACAGATCAGGAAGCTGGAGGTCAGAAAAAGCTGCCTAAAGGTGAAGCTGGAGGTCAGAAAAAGCTGCCTAAAGGTGAGGGGATCTATTTGACTTGGCTTGTGCAATGACTTCATTTACCTTGTAACATTTAAACAATTCGATTTTAATACATAAGGGTTTTTTTTTCCCTGTCTCTATATTTTACCTGCAATTAAGGGATGTTGTCACTAGGAGGCGATGTTGCTACATTAGCCAGAACCACATGTTTTGTGATGAGGTTTATGCCTCTCAGAGCTTAATTATGGTGATCCTGATCATAGGCATTTATTACCTAGGCCTTACTTAGTTCCCTGCAATGAAGTTCCTTATTGTAACATCTAAATAAAGTCAGTTCTGCTGTAACACAACATACGCATTCCTGGAAGTCACCGCGGTATGCAGACTCTGGAGATAAAAGCTGCAGCGGGAAGGACGGGTTAGGAGCACAACACTCAAGAACGAATCACTGACAGATAAAAACAGGAATAGGAACCTGGTAAAAATGGGAGCATAATTTTACACATTAAACGGTTAAGAAATTCATAAACGTGAATGTGGCACCAGGCCTTGAGACTGACGTGAAATTTACTCGTACAGGTGGGTCCTGGAAGGGTTGCCACTTGCGTGCTTTTGTGCGAGGACAGTCACGTGATGTTAGAAGTCGAAAGGTGGTTGTGACGGCCGATACAGGTGGCTTGTGATGCGTGACAGCCTGGGGGACCCGGCAGGTGTCTGAAGTGCGTGCGTGTGTGAGCCGCGTGCTTCCGTTCAGCTGGGTGCGCTTCTCTGTGTTCACGCAGCGTTCCTTGTGGACAGAAGCACGCATAAGCGCACACAGAGCTCACATCGTACTCGGATTGTTCCCCGGCAGCTCAGTCGCGTTGGAACAAATTTGCATTTTCAGAACAAGCCACTGGGCTGTCGTGTTTGTGTTGCGCTGGGTGGTAGACACGTCTGTGCCCTCAGTTCCCTGCTGCACCGAGAGCCGCGGGGTCTCCGTCTACGTGTGTGTCCTCAGCAGGAGCCTGGTGAATGTGGCAGGGCGGTGAACGCTTTGCCCGTTGTGTCCGTTTGCTAGGGCCGCCGTAAAAAATACCAGAGACTGGTGGCTGGCACAGCAGAAATTTATTTTCTCACGCTCTTGCACTCCGGAACACTCCGGAAGTCCAAGACCCAGGCCTTGGTAGACTGTGCTTCCCCTGAAGCCTCTCTCACCGGCTTGTCCCTGGCACCTGCCCGCTGTGTCCTCACGTGGTCTGCTCTGTGCCCAGGCGCCCCCGATGTCTCTCTTCCTGTGAGGACATTGGTCATATTAGGGCCCCACTCTCATGTCTCTATTTAACATTATCTCCTTAAAGGCCCTGCCTCCACATATAGTCACATTCTGAGGTTCTGGGGGTTAGGGCTCTACCATACTCATTTCGGGGGGACACAGGCCGGCCCCTAACACTTATGGTAAGACTGAGGCAGACGTGGTCAGAAGTAATAGAAGTACAGCTGTTTCTGGACGATACTGGTAATGGTGTCAGTGTTGGTGTCAGTGACATGTAAGGGGGGGGCGGTGGGGAGTTATGGGGACGGGGCCTGTGCTGTGCTCACCTCCGCGTGGCCTGTAACGGTGACGCCTGGCCGGTCAGGGAGCTCCACGCACAGGCTGAGAAATGATGCTAAAACAGACTCTGCAGTCGCAGCCTCGAGCCAGATCAGAGAGCCCCACGTAGCAATTCCAAGGGAGACGCTTTATAAAGTTAGGCATTCCAGAGGGACTCGAGAAGGACAGTAAATCAACCAGGAAGTGTTGACAGCTGGAGTCACCTTTTCCGGAAAGAGCCGTCTGTCTTTCCCTACTTTCCCTAGGCTTCTGGGTCTGACCACAGGATGTGGCTTTTGGAAACCCAGTCAGGAGCCCCGCCTGGGGCAGATGGCAGAGGGGGTGATGGTCAGGGGGAGGTCAGGCTCTGGCCATGGGTCTAGCTGACTCACCAGACCTGGATGGACACGTAATCAACCTCGGGGGTTATTTGGGGCCTTTGGCTACTGGGCTGGGGTCTCAAGCCCTCCCGTCCCTTCATTTCTGGCGTGGCGAGCAAGGTCGCGGCCCCCCTGGTGGGGGTCAGCTTGGGAGGGTGAGGGGCAGGGGGCCGGGCAGGTCGCTGGGAGTGGCGAGGGGGGGTGGCGCTCAGCCTGGCCTCTGGGCCTCTCTGTTGCACAGTCCATGCCTCAGCTGTGGGACCCACAGGGTGGGCTTGTGCCACGTGGGGGGTGCTTGGGGGGGCATTGAACGTGCACCGTAGGGGGGGCATGTCGTCACGGGACGGTGGGCCCGCAGTCCCCCTCACTGGACGGTGGGCCTGCCTTCCTCCCAGAGACCTCTGCGCTTACAGAAAAGTGGCTGTGCAGCCAGCCCGGGTTCAAGTGACAGATAACCAGCCCCGACTGGCTTGAGTGACACAGGGACTATCGCTGCCGGACGGCAAGGGCCTGCCAGCTTCAGGCGCAGACAGTGATCAGACGCTGGAAACGGAACCACGCTCCTCCCCCGTCACTCGGGAGTCTGCACTTGCAAATCTGCCTCTTGGCAGAACTCAGTTGTAACCCCAAAATGCATTTGCAGGCAGACGCGGACGTGCACAGAGGGGAGAAAATCTGAGTCGCTGGGGCCCGCGTTTCTGGCTAAGGTCACACGGGATGGTCGCTGCCCTTGCCTCCAGCCCTTTGTGCTGCCCTGGGTGGTTTTGCTCTGTTTGGTTTTGCGTGTTCGTGCTTTTGTCAGAGATCTTGCTGTCGAAGATGACCCCGGAGCGAAGGCTGACGTGCCGGCCGGGGTCCGCGAGGGCGGGCCGCCGTGTGCCTCACGGGAGAGACCCTCGTGTGTGGGTCAGCTTCTCGCGGGCGCGAGTCACGGGGCTGGTGGCCGGCAGTGCAGGGTTACCGAGTCGGCGATACCGAATGAGGGGTCTCGGAGCAGAAACGCACCTGAGACACAGTTCCGAATCCCGGATGACGACGGTGCTGTGCGCGGAGGCTATCCGGGAGCTGTTGTCTCGGAGCAGCGGTCCAGTACCCGCTAGTTGGTGTTTGCAGTGACTTCGTAAAATGTAACTACGCTGGCTGGGCATGGTTTTCTCCATCTCCCGGCTTCGCTTCTGTAGGTACGCCCATACGCGAGCAGCCGAGCGTGTTTAATGCGTATGTTTTCGTGAGTCTGGTCGTCCGCACACACCCGGGGATACCATTGCCACCGTCGGGGTACTAAGCACATCCGTCACCTCCAGAAATTTCCCGTGTTCCTTGTGGCTTTTTCCTTTTCCTTCTCTCTCTCTTCCTTTCTCTCCTTTTTGTGCTAAGAACACTGGATATGAGCTCTCCCCTCTTAACGTGTTTCAAAGCGCCCACCCCTGGGGGCAACGGGGCGGCTCAGTCTTGAGCATCTGCCTCTTGATTTCAGCTCAGGTCATGATCTCACAGTTGTGGGATCAAGCCCCGCGTGGGGCTCTGCGTTGACAGCGCGGAACCTGCTTGGGATTCCGTCTCTCCCCCTCTCGCTCTGGTCCTCCCCCCCCCCCCATAAAATGAACAAATAAAATAGGTGTTTTTAAAGCACGCTCTCTGTATTAGCTGCAGACACAGTGTTAGCCGGCTGACTCCAGAACTCATTCACCCCACGTGATTGAAACGTTGCGCCCGTTACGCCCCAGCTCCCCGTTTCAAGCCGCCCTCGTGTTCTCTGCTTCTGAGTTGACTCCTGTAGATTTCTCACGGAAGGGGAGCCATGCAGCGGTTGTCCTGTGAGGGGCTCACGTCACTTAGCATGCTGGCCTCTCAATTCATCCATCGTGCTGCAGATGATAAGCTCCCCCCCTCCCCCACCGCCTTTTCCAGGCCGAGTGATACTTCAGGGTGTGTGTACCACCTTTTCTGTGTCTGTCTCTCTGTCGCTGGGCTTTGGGCTTCCTTCTGTATCTTGGCTGCTGTGAATAACGCGGCAGCGAACGTGGCGTGCAGACGCCTCTTTGAGGTCCTGTTTTCAGTTCTTTGGGGTCTGTGCGGGACCCGGGAGTGGGGTTGCTCCTGCGCGGGGCGCATTCTCAGGCGGGCTCTCCTCACGTAACGGAGGTGTGTGTTAGCAGCCGCGGGCCCCGTGGACCGCTCGGCAGAACCAGCAGAATCCGCCTTCTCCGGGCGTCCCTGCAGAGAGCTCAGGACCTGCCCTGCCCACTGCAGGGGGGCCAAGGAGTCTGGGCCTGGGGGGTGAAGCCGGAAGGTCAGGGAGGGGTGATTCCCTGTGGAAACGGGGCGCAGTCGCCACAGGGAGGGAGGTTTGCACCGGCCGGCTGGGAGAGCTGGCCTCCGTGGTGTTAGCGGTGGTCCTTTCGGGGAAGGGCGGGGGCACATCTTGATTGCTGGGGGAACGCTGACATATTTGCGTTCCGGGCTTGAGACGGAGGGGAAGCTTCTGGCAGAGGCGAGGACGGTGGTAGGGGTCAGATAAAAGTCGGCGGGCGTGGGGGGCGTGCTCCAGAGACACGTACCGAGGACGTCTGAGTGACCTCAGCCGCAGCCCGCCGGGGGGAGGGAGGGAGCTGAGGAGAGGCCCGGGGCTTCCCAGGTGATCCCAGAGCCTCTGAGGGTGACTGAGTCTGCCCCACGGGCCGGGGTTCGGAGGGCAGGCAGCACAGCGAGGGAGCACAGAGGGAGCGCGTCCTTCTCTGCGTCCGTGGCCTTTCCCAACTTCCCCTCCACCCCTGTCCGTGGCCGCTAAGCTCTGGCCGGCCTCGATCCTGGGAGGAGAAGCTGGAGGCGTCTCATCGGTGACCTCAGGCGCCGTGCCGCGTAGGAAGTGCCCAGCCACCCCGCCTGGGACGCGGGTGTGGAAACGGGTAACCCGTGGCCCCGACAGAGCGAGGTTGGCGTGGCCCATCC